AACGAAACAATGCTTCAGTCAATTACTTGCTTTCTTTATTAAATTCCAAAATTTAGACGCATCATGCAAATGGAAAAGTTACTCATCACCATCATCCTGCGAAAAAGGACGGTCATCATCATGAAAACCAGGATGAGCATCACCAACTTGCGAAGAAAAAAGGTGAGCATCACCATCCTGCGAAGAAAGAAGATGAAGAAGGCCACAAGCACAAACAGGACGAGCATCATAAAAATTCACCTGCTCATGGCCATTCTCATCATTCCAAGGTATTGTTAGATGGAATGAGTAATAATGCTGTTGGGTTGTTCAATTAGACATATCCTCCTGCACATTTTCGTCGTTTCCCTTGTCCACTTTTTTCTCAAATTTTCTATAAACTCAGTATGAAAGCGCTGAAGTTGTCAAACTGTAATCTCTGATTTTATTCAATCGGAGTTTGCTTAAAGAGCCATTTAAATATATGACGTTGCTTCAAAACTAATTCCAATTTCTTGGACAAAATGCTAATCATAGTTAATGACGTCATCATACTTGTGAATCACTAACATACCATCTTGTATTTGATAACATATGAAGGAACATACGTAGAAATGACTATTTATAGATGTTATCACGCCATTAAATATGGTATCCCTATAATTTGGAAATTGGGCCTTACCTAAAAACAGCATATAAAATTTTAATGAAGTTATAACTTATTAGTTTAGGGTAAAGATGGTGCTCATCATCCTGCTCATCATGCATCTGCTCCGGAGAAGAAAAAGAAATCGAAAAGAGCGACCCTTCAGAAACATGCCAAGAGGCATCTCGCTAAGGCTCACGGCCATGTCAAAACAGCTCACGGCCATGTCAAAACAGCTCACGGTCATGTCAAAAAACATGCCAAAAACGCTCACAAAGCTCTAACAGGTGGTAAGGGTAAAAAGCCTAAAAAGGAGCCACACAAAGAAGAAGGACCACATAAGGAGCCAGACGAACAGGAAGCTGAAAAGACTGGAGGTGAGTCACACAACGACCCCAAACCAAGTGGCGAAGCTGAAGGACCAAAGAAAGCAAGTGGTGAGGAGGGAGGTGACCATGAAGGTGCCGAACAGGAAAGCTCGAAACATGGGAAATCCGAGCACGAGGGCACCAAACAGGAGAAATCCGAGCATGAAGTCCCCAAACAGGAACGTACCGAGCACGAAGGCGCTGCGCATGGGGGCGCTAAAGATAAAAGTGGAGACGGAGTTGAAAATGCGGTTGGTCACCAAGAGCGTACTAACCACGAGGAGCCTGAGGACAACAGTCGAGGAGAAAATGGCAAAAGTCCTGAAAGAGAGGGCAAACATTCTGAAGAAAAGAGCAAACGTTCGGAAGAAAAGAGCAAAAGTCCTGAGGAAAAGAGCAAACGTTCTGAAGAGAAGAGCAAAATTCCAGGAGAAAAGAGCAAAAGTCGAGAAATAGATGGTAGTCTTGAAAGGAGGGGCAAAAATCCCCAAGAAAGAGGCAACAGTGACGAAGGACATGAAGGACACAGAGAAGATGAAGACGATGACAGTGAAGAAGATTTCGAGATTGACAATAGCCATAGAAAAGATTCTGAAGAAGATAAGTCAAAGAAAAGTAGAATCGTTTGAACAATTGGCGTATCCCTTTATTTAATCAGTGCAACTAATAATTAGTTGTATAATTATTATTGTTATAGTTATTAGTACTATTCCATTGTCCGGGATTTTATCAAGGGAATGTTTTTTGTTTCGAAATTCCTATTTTCACTAGCTAAAAAGATGGAGAAATGGGAATTTCGAATTTTTGTGATATTTTTGATATTTTCAAAGCTCGAATTTCAGACTTTTTTGTAAAGTAGTAGAGTTTTGGGTCTATTATTGGGAGTTAGTGTGTAAAAAGGATATGTTTTTTTATTAAGTAGTGTTAATAAAATTATTTCTCCTTAGGCTGAGGAGAAAGCTGAGGAGATTTAGATCGACGCCCATAACTTTTCGGGAATGTCCATAGCTATACTGAGGAGATTTTGTCAGCAACCCGGCCCAGATAGGCTCCGGCACTGGCCACCTCCTCAGTCAGGTTCCGACGGAACAGCTCAGCTTTTTAGGATTTATATACAACTCATTTCTAAAAAAATGGGTTTTGGAGCAAAAGTGATAGAATAGTTATACCGTAAATCCTCCAATAAGTCCCCCCCCCTCAATTAAGTCCCCCCCTCAAATAAGTCCCCCCTCAAACAGAATGCCAAACGTACTTGCGGTCTCGCCCGAAAAAAACTAAGTGCATAATAGTGTAGATCTCGTCGAGTTACGTAAGAAAAACCCCAATGCCAAAACTTTGTCATTGAAAATATCGGAGAAAATTGAGTTCGAAATTTGAAAATTTTTTTGAAAACCCTTACGAAACAATAAGTCCCCCGGGGGACTTATTGGAGGATTTACGGTATTTTCTTTTGCTGAACTTTACGTTTATTATGCTATACGTTGTACATACACAAAGCTGTTCAAGGAAACAGCGTCATTTCATTTTAGTTTTGCAAATCGAAAGAACGCACGTCTACTCCTGTTTCGCTCTCTAGCTATATTAAATATCGATTTTTTTCGTGTAGTGTTTCTCTATTCGATTGCTTAATTGATATAGCGATGAACTATATCTCCTATTTATGTGATAAATAGTGGTGTTCCTCCCAAGAATAAAATAATTTGAACGATAAATTGTAAAACATTGAAAAATTAGCAATAACATTTTTGCCCATAAAAACGAAAGAAAAACGTTTCCAAATAAGACGCAACAAATAGCCACTTCCATCCAAAAACCACTATTTTCCATAGTCGGGAAACATGCGATTTTTTCAACGACCAAGCGAGTGTGTCTTTAAGATTATTCCTCAAAACTGTATTTGATCTCCCTATCTCATCTTTCTATCATTCATACTTGCACCGCCAAAACTGGCAGTGCTTTCCAAAATTAGTCATCTGCCGCAAAAGTTAATTCGGGCTGAAACGTTCAAGTACCTCAAATTCGGGTATTTAAACCGAAGAATTGGGCTCTGTTTCGCCTTTTCTCAAAAGATTGAGCCAATTCAGTGATATTGCGCGTCGCCATAAAAAGACATAGGAGCGATGTCAGTGTGCAGAGAAATAAACCTATTCTTTGGGTTGTAAAGGAATAAAATGTCTCTCATTACAAAGTGGGATATAAGCAGCGGAGTCATCTCCACGCTCCTATTGTCAAAATCCTTTTACCTAGTATTTGAGTGCTGTCCGTCGACGTTTTATTCTTAGGGGTGCTTATTCCATTTTTCAGAGGTGCATTCTTAGGGGTGCTTATTTTTTAAATGTACCTATTTTAGGTAATTTTTAGCAGGAAATCCGAATTTTACGTCAAAATTTAACTAAAATGTAGCTGTTTTAGACAAAATTTAGCTAAAATGTTCCGATTTTGTCCAAAATTTTGGCAAGGGCCATTCAATCAATGATAGTCAATCAGTGATACTAAACTCTCTCAAACCTCGATTTTTTAAATTAAACATGCACAGACTAAAGCATCGTAGTCAGACTCCCGTATCGCACCCTTCAAGCGGTCGAAGGCCGCGAGGTCGGGCGCGATGCGCCCGACCTAGGTTTTTTTCCAGCGCCGAAGGCGCTGGAAAAAAGCCTAGTAAACAATAAAATGCAACTTTTTCTCTGCTACTACGATCCACTCCTACGTCTTATGGCGCGTACACTATTACTCTATTCCCTGGCTCTATAAAGAAAAGGCGAAACAGAGCCAAATTTTTCGGTTTAAATATCCGAATTTGAGGTACTTGAACGTTTCAGCCGGAATTAACCTTTGCAGCAGGGCTGAAATTTTACCGGGAGGTAGATCATCGAAAAAGATTACATAGGTTTTTTTAGCCCGATCACATAATTTTAAAAAATTTTTTCACATTGGTGTATAACGGACAGGTGACATCACATGAGGTCATGTCATGTAAGGTGACATGACCTCATGTCACCTTACATGACAAGACCCTATGTCATGTAAGGTGTGATACTTTTTGCCCGTGTCTGCGGCGGGGCCCGTGCCTGCGGCGGAGCCTGTAATCAAAGCGTAGAATGTAGTGCAGAGAAACTCCGTGATCAATGCGTTGAAAGTAGTGGCCCGACGAGAAGATTCCCCCCGCTTTGCGGGGGGAATCTTCTCATATGAAAACAATTTTAATCAAAATCTCATGGCGATTATATATGGACAGACAATCCTTGACAAATAGCTTCCAAAAACACACAAAAGCATAGACAGAGTAAAGCCAACATAGTCTTTAGAAGAAAACTAATAAATATCGTTGTTCTTTCGCTTTCTAACCCTCCTCCAGCCCATTTTATTATTTAATCGCTGAATTGAGTCATTTATAAACCAAAAGAAGCCGGTTTGATTCAAGGGACCTGCACCGAGGGGAGTGGTCAGTAGCCGATGCCTATCTCTGGCCTGAGATGCTGCTGACGACGCTAATGCCAAATAGCAAGTCGCACAGGTACACGGAGTACCATAAAATTCAAAAATAATAAAGGGCCAGAATGTCTGTAAGGACAGGAAATAAACCGATCATACCGCTAAAACTTGCATCTACATAGGTGCTCCTAAACGGAGCGTTCGGTGACTAAATGTCAAATCTGTTCCCGCTCTCCAGTGAAGTGAAAAAGTCACATTTTTGAAATATTGGAGAAAATTTTCATGACCCTTTCTATGCCGATTAGAAGTTGGTATCAAAATATAATCAGTGCTTTTTTATGTCATGGTCATGTTCAAGTTGAAAATTAATGCTAAGTCGGGCTGTGTTGACTTAATACTAAAGTTTTTATTTAGCGTTGAACCATATAACAGACCAGTCTTAATTGAGACAGTACAATGTGTGATTGGCCTTATGAAACACTGCCATTTCCTTTAATTAAAATATTTAAAAAATATAAATAATGTGCATAGCTAAAATTTTTTCGTGAGCCACATATTTCGGGATTTAAAAATTTTGCGCAGTGCGGGGTTTGCACCCGCGACCAATCGCTTGGGAAGCGACCATGCAACTACTACACCAACTGCGCACAGCGAATGAGCCAAGAGATTTGGATATAGACAGACTGTCTGGATGGTTGTGAACACACCAAATTTGGTTCGTGGGAGTATAATAATTTCAGGGCTTAAAATTGTTTCTCATTCATTTTTGTGCAAGGTAAGTAATGTCCTTCGTTAGGTAAAATATTTTTCTCGGCTGAGCTTGTTAATAATAAAGATTCTTTACAGATTCATTGAAATTTGCTTTTCCAACAACGAATTTCTTTAACCTAAAGCTGTTACACTGATATTATACGCATTATTGGTGAGGAAGGGGTGGCTAAAGTTTTAAGCATTGTTAGGGTTTTTCTGTAAATTGGGAGAGTTCAACAAAGGGGGTTGGCTTTAGGCCAGAGGGGGTTGGCTTTAGGCCAGAAGGGGTTGGCTAGAAGGTTTGACTAATGTCCGGTAAATATCGCGCCAAAAAGTTCCATTTGAAATTGAAAGAAACAAAATGACATTCATCACTAAAAATTCTTTATTTTGTGTAGGTTTCACAATGTGTCACAATTTTACTCAAATTTGACCTACTTATATAATCCAATAGTGTTAACAATCATAATTTGTTTAATTCGTTTACAAAAAAATAAGCCATAATTTTTGTACCATGTATTTATTCATGTCTGCGGTTTTTCAAATAGTGCTGGAGCTCTGGCAAAAGGTGAACCTTGTCCACGAAGGCGACTATTTCCGGATACTTCTCCTGAAACGCTTGACTTAAATTTCTGAAAAATACGATAAGCTATCTAAGATGAGATAAGAAAGATCTGCGTTAATTTTTTATTTGGGAATTAACGGGTAAGGGGAAATATGTCATATCCGGAAAATTTTTTGAGTAGCGCTCCAAACAAAATAATATGAAAACTGTGATAAAAAATAGCGACAGTAGGAGAGCGATTTTTATCGAAACAGACCTTCATCAACTCCGGCTCGAATTTATTGACCCTGGAAACAGGATATGTGACATAAAACATACGAATAAGATTGAATGCAATTCAAAATAAAACTTGCCAATGTTCAAAGTAGTCAGCAACGATGAAATCTACGAAAGTGAGTCCTGAAGGAGCCAGAAACCCTGAGCCGGATTCCTGTAAGAGTCGAACATATTGCGGGAAATGGCGCGCAGAAGTTGGTAAGAAGAGGTCTTTTCGGAGATCTGCCTGAAAAGAGGACTTAATCTAATTTGGTCTGCATTATAAGAATTCTAAATATGAAACTTACAGGATCTCCCTGAACCAGGCCTTTATTGCCGTATCCGAGCAAACGATAGTAATAGGGTGCCAAATCGCTATACTAAAAATTCCGTTGAATTCATTTTGAAGCTGAAAATATGTTAGTTCTTTAGCAGTTACCGCATCTTTGTGGAAGTCGATAATCTCGTTTACATGAGCTCTTTCCCACTCGTCTTTGCCGGCGAGTCCTGAAATGGTAGTGAGCAAATTTTTTTGTAAATTAAAAATTAAGTGTAAACTATACCAAATTTTTCTCCCAAATAGCGGCAAATCACAGACGATTGGGCCAATTGCTTGCCATCGACTAAAATATTTTGAATAGTGAATAGTGAATATTACGATATTTTTCACACAAATTTTGCAGTATTACAGAAAAAAGTATGAACGACGATAGGTATTGAAAGCCATGTCCCATAGATAAAATTATGACAAAATTTTTGGGTATATGGCGCGAAACACAATTTGGCGCGAAGTTATAAATTTTGCCCTTTAAAGGTTTAAGTCAAAACATAATTAAGCAAAAAAATTTTAAAAAGTAGAAAATGGACCTTCTAAGACTGGAAGTCTTCCATACTTATAGTTTGGCTTGTAATCTGGCCAATCCTCCATACTAATGATGCGGTCCTCATATGGCTGGTTCGCATAAGCGAAAATCAGTCTAATGGCCTAAACTATCTTATTTTATTCAGGTTATGACTTGTAATTGAAAATAACCTCTCCCAATCCGCGCAGGTCGAAATAGTGCAATTTATACTCGGTCATTTTCGAAGGACTTTTGATCCGTCTTTTTAATTTAAGATGTTGAATGTGCTGCTCCAGATTGCCCAATTTTCCGTCGCTTCTGATTCTGACACTAGAAACTTTCATTGATGGTATTTGGATAATTTTGAGATTTATGAAACGTTTGTGACACATTTTTGTCATACTGTGTTTTTAACATGCTGAGCACAAACATGAGACTAGTTTTTGTCGTATTGACCTACTAGAGCATTATAGAATGGCTCGAGGGCATTTGGCCTGATTTGATACTTACAGGGTAAACGAGTTTATTGACATAAATGTATGTAAATTGTTTGTTAGCGTTCACCGCACAAAAACAAGGACATCTTCTCTACACTCCAACATTTTTCGTTATCTTTCCTATGCATAGATTAAGAAGCAATTTATCAGACAAACCGAGAAAAATTTTCCAGCAGTTTGTTAATAAATAACACTATGAAGGACTAATGTCAACAATGATAACAACAATAGCTACCAAATTTTCTGCTCCCGTGTTAGCAACAGTTACACATATAACGGTGTTTTCGAAATTATGGAATACTTTAAGTAAAAACATCAAATATTTCTTCTCAAATTCTCCTAACGAAAAACGATACTCTCAATTTCGTACCAAACTTAAATAATAGTAGATTGATAAGTTGAACTGTTTTCTAGTTTCTACTTTCACCAAAGGACAAACCAAAATTACCCTTCGGCAAAGGAAACAATTGTGTTTAGGTCGGTATGAATCGATTCCTGAGCCAGAAAGATGACATGTGGAATTACTATGTGTAATAATGAAAGGCGCACTGTCTACCTAATCACAGAGAAAAGTTACATTGTCGTATTGTGATGATTAATAAATGATGATCGGAACGAAATCAATTTTTAGGAAATAGTCAAATTTACGTCATTGGAAGGCAGCTAGAAAAAATATGAATGGCATCTGAAATTATTCTGAACATATAAACGCATAAAATGAACTATCCGCTAATTAGTCACCTCGAATTCTGATAAGAGAAATCCCGGCTATCTGCTGGCCTACTTTTAGTGTGAAAACGATAGCAGCACCTTTGAAAATATCAAGTTTTAAAGTTTAAATCTTGATATTTTCAATAGTAAAAAATGTTTAAAATTTAAACATTTTTTACTCGTCGCTATGATTACCAATAATAAGATAGCGCAGCATAACAGTCTCTTCAGGCACTTTGTGGCCCTCTGACGATAACTGGGAGGACGGTGTTGAGACGCAATTGGAATTTTCCGACTCTTGTCGAATAATTTGCTCATTGTTGGCATTGTCGCTGGGAGGTGTGTGATGCCTGGCGCTGTCATCGGCATGTGACTGCAGCATGCAATTCAACATCTTATCCAGTTTCGGGCACTGAAGTCTGATAGCTGGTATGATAGCCAGGCATTAATCCTGCGTTATACATGTTATGTATAGTTCTTTGGCCAAGTCATTACGCGTAATTACTCCACATATCCTTTCGGCGCAGTCATTTTATTGAAATCCAACCATTCTTCCTGTTGAACAACGATCATTGAATGAGATCGAGAAGTTGAGATTTTGCAGTCAAAACTTTGCACAGCAAAGTTTGCATTCACGTGTTTGCATTCAAAGTGCATATTTTAATTTACCGTTTCAATATATCAATGAGGTGTTTCATTTGATCTTCTTTGTTCGCGATTGTTGGTATTAATTCAGGCCACACTGACTGACTGATCAATTGAAGAGTTGATACTTCTGCTTTCCCTCGAAATGGATGAAACGTGTGGATGAAATTTTTTGGAAACTTCATAAATGTTTACAAAGTTATGCCAAATATTTTCCAAATACGGCAAAATTTCAAAATTTTTCAATAAATTTGCCAAAATCTCGAAATTTTTCGAAAAAGTAACCAAAACTTCTCGGCGCTGTTTTCGGCGGACCCGAAAAATTCTTTATAGCCGGGTAAAATCTTTTGGTTCTCCGTTGCCTGCGAAAATTGCTTATGGGTTTAACTGCGTAATAAACCAAAAGATTCAAGATTATCAAATTATCTATATATCATTTTTCAAAATATATTTAACTAAAATACATTGGGAAACTGTCTAAAGGAAGTTCCAATAAAATGGCCACTTTTGCTATTCGGTCCTTCTGTAACAAAAAATTCAGAATAACTTCTTTTTAATCGTATGACTAGGTTCCTTCTTATTCCAAAAATGGAATTCTAATACCTTCTGACCTTTAAAGCGACTTTTAGTTTATTTCGGACTAAACAAACATATTCGGATATAACAAACATAAATATTATTCATTGAATAAAATACATGAGGCTTTTTGATAAGGGCTCGAAACCATTGAAGCGTCGTGTTAGAGCACCGGTCACCAAAAATCCAGATTTGGTCATTTTAGATTTTGGTATACCCATTTTCGATGAAACTGATTTGTGTCATATTTCGAACACGCAATTCAAACACTAATTATGGATTTAGTTCTCTTAAGGGGTCGCTTATGCCTAAGTCAAAATATAACTATTGGTCCAAACCTGACCCTAAGCCAATTGATAAAAAGCCTCTTCACTGATAGAAATAAACATTTTCTTGAACGAAATAAGGTATTATCCATTTAATTCAGTATGCACTCGGCAACAAATAAAGCCGTGATCCGTGCCGGTATAGAGGCATGCCGAATTGTCGGGGCAGGATTGAGGGGTGCCAGATCTTGCATATGGATTGCATGTTCGATAGTTTCCTGCAAGTTCGACTGGGACGAGGTTGGCCGGTTGCGGGGGACAAACATCTAAAATTTAAAATACTTTGGAATTGGTTAATAGTGGGTTAAGCTGTCAGAAAAGCATACACCATTTTTGGCCAAAATCTTAAAATTTCTTACGCATTATTTTCCTATATATAATGTGCAGGTGGACCGTGTCTGGAACGCTTATATCTGAAGATCTGTCAAGCGGTGGAAAAAAGTGACGACGGATTCGGATTCAGGGTGAAAAATTATCGGG